TGTTCTCCTATGGCCTGAATCTTCACTGAAATTGAAAGGCTAGGGCCAAAATTTTGGCTGTGCTTGCAGCCCTTCTTTTTCTCTAATTTTTGTTCCATGAACTTAGGTGTTAACCATCCAGAAGAAAAGCATATTAATATTACCCAACAACATAGGCACTTGAGCTTAACCTCACTGTCTGAATATAAAATATCTCAGGCATAATATGGTACAGATATATTCCAGCAAGTATTGATATGTTAAACTTTAAGTGCCTACAGAATATGAAGGAAAAAAATTAAAAAATAAAAACATTTAAAAATGGGAAAAAACAGTTACATATTTTTACACAGAAATTTAGAAATTTAACCATATGTTGCATTGTACCAGGACAGTTCTATGACATTTTTTCTTGTCTAGTGTTTTCATTTATTACCCCTGTTTTTTAGACAAATATTTACTTAAGAGACAGTATGAAAATAGTGGTTTGTCAAGACAAATAGTACATATGTAGAAGAACAGAATGACAGGCATTCGAAGCATGTCTCTACAATTAGACATTGTTAATTTCAGTGCAGTTGCTTAGCTCACAGGTATCAGCATATATAGTTAGTCATGGTGAGAATCCTAACAATTAACTGCTGGTTTCAAAACATGGTGCAGATTCTCAAGGTCATTCCCTTAACCTTCTTGTGCATATACATGTATGACTTTGGCCCTGTCATGTTTCCTAGCTTTTCTCCTTCCCTCTCTTTCTTGTTTAATCCTCAAGTTCTCGCTCTACATTTAATTGTGTTACACTTTTATATTTTAATTTCTTCTTCTGAGCTATTATACTAGGGAGACTATATGATATTTACATATGTGTGTATAGTTTACTACACTTATGAGTATATCTTCCTGTGGCATCCACTTTAACAAAAGCGCTTCCAATTTATCATTCTTTATAGCTGAGTAATCCTTCACTTTTTAAAAATACCACATCTTTTTCAACCTTTGCTCAAGTAATAGGGCTTTGGTTGTTTCCAAAATGTGGCTATCATAAATTGTGTTGCTATAAACATAGGTAGGCACATATCATTATGATATGACAATTTCAGTTTCACTGGGAAAATTCCCAGTAGGGGAAAAGCTGGCTTGAATGGGATTGTCAATCCTAATTTTTAAGGATTCTCCACACTGATTTCCATAATGGATGCACCAGTCTACATTCCTACCAGAAGTGGAGAAGGATTCCTTTATCTCCACAGCCTGTCCAACATTTGTTGTTGGCTGATTTCTTTAGCATAGCTATTCTTTCTGTGGTGAGATGGCATCTCAGTGTTGTTTTAATTTTCATATCACAGATGGCTAGTGATGTGCAGAATTTTTCCATATATTTATTCTCTTCTTTAATTTCATTCTCTGAGCAGTGTGTGCTCATCTTGGATACCCATACCTTGATTGAGCCTTTAAATTTTGAATGACTAATGTGCTTCAGGTCTCTTTAAATACTAGAGAGCAGACCTTTGTCGGAGTGCTTGTTAGTCAATTTATTTTCCAAATTTGTGGGTTGTATTTTCACCTTGTTGATAATTACCTTTGACGTGAAAAATCTTCTCAATAAGAGGAGGTCCCAGTTGTTAATTCTTTCAAGTATTACCCTTGGGATTTGATTTTTGTTCAGGAACTCTTTGCCTATGCTTTGTCTTCAAGAGTTCCTCCTACTTTCTCTCTTAGGAGATTTAGTTTTTCTGTTTTAATATTTAGATCTTCAATCCATTTTTACTTTAGGTTAATGCATGGTGATAGTCTTGGGCCAAGTTTTAATTTTCAGCATGTAGAGAGCCAGTTTTCCCAGCACCATTTGTTAAAGAGGTTTTCTTTCAGAGAGCATGTTAAGCTCCTTTGTTGAAGATAAGTTGGCTGAGTGTGTTCATAGAGGCTTATGCATCTTCTAATGTACTCCACTGAATCTCAGGTATAGTTTTTGCCTATACCATGATGATGTTATCACAGTAGTTTTGTACTATAATTTCAAATCAGGAATTGTAATGTCTCCTGCCTTAGCTTTGTTGGCCAGGTTTTCCTTTGCGATTTTTGGTATTTTCTGGTTCCAAGCAAATTTTAGGATTAATTTCTTTAGCTCTGTGAGGTATATTGGTGTTAGATTGATAGGGATGGCATTAAATCTGTGCAGCAGTTTTGGAAGTCTGGCCATCATTACAATGTTGGTTCTTCCTATGCAGGAGCAGGAAATATCTTTTCATTTTCTGAAATCCTCTGTGATCTTTTTTTTTCAGGGTACTGTAATTTTCCTTTAAAAGACCTTTTACTTCTTTAGTTAGATTTATTCCAAGTTATTTCATTTTCCATGGTGCTACTGTAAAAGATATTTTTTCTCTAATTTCGCTCTCAGTGTGTTTGTTGTCTGCGTAGAGGAATGTTATTGACTTTTTGGTATTGCCTTTTGTCCTCCTATGCTACTAAATTTGTGTATCAATTCTAGTAGGTTTTTGGTGGAATTTTTTTGGTCTTCCAAGTAAAGTATCATGTCTGCAAATAATGATAATTTAAATCATGCTCTACCTACTCTTATTCCTTTTTATTTATCTCTCTTGTATAATGGCTCTATCAAATAATTGCAGAACTATACTGAATAGCAGTCGTGATAGAAGACATACTTGTCTTTACCAGATCTGAGAGTATAAGACTTGAGTTTTTCCCCATTTAGAATTATGTTAGGCTTTGTGTTGCCATAGATGGCTTTTATCAGATTGAAGTAGAGGCCTTCTATTCCAATTTTCTGTAGAAATTTGAACATGATGAGTATTGGACTTTTTCAAATGACTTTTATGCATAAATTGAGATGATCATGTGGTTTTTAGCTTTTGCTATATTGATATTGTGTATTACAGTTATAGATTTGCATATATTGAACTATCTTTGCATTCCTGCAATTAATCCAACCTAGTCATGATGTATGTTCTTCTTGATGATTTGCTGTATTCTATTTGCTAGGATTTTGTTGAGGATTTCTGTGTCTATGTTCGTGAGGGTGATTGGCCTATAATTTTGTTTTTTTAGATGCATCTTTCCCTCGTTTTGTTATCAGTATAATGCCTCCAGGAATGATTTTGGGAGGATTGCTTCCTGTTCAATTTCATTGAAGAGTTTGTGAAACATAGGGATGATATTTTCCATAAATTTCTTGTATAATTCACCTGTGAATCCATCAGGACATGGACTTTTCTTTAGCACTAGGTTTTTTATTGCATTTCATATTTCATTATCTGTTCCTCTGTTATTGAGAGATGTTATAAATTCTTGATTCAGTTTTGGTAATTTGTGCCTTTGCACAGGTTTGTTCATTTCTTCTGTGTCTTCTATTGTGTAAGAATAAAAGTTTTCAAAGTAGCTATTCACAATCTTCTGAGATTTCACTGGTCTGTGGTACTTATACCCTTTTCACTCTTTATTGTTTGTATCTGAATTTTTTTTATTTACTCTTTTTGATGAGGTTAGCTAGGGGCTTATCGATTTTAATTAATCTTTCCAAGAACCAGCTTTTTGATTCGTTATTTCATTGAACTGTTTTCTTCATGTTAATTGAATTAATGTCTGCTCTAATCTTTGTGATTTATTCCCATCTTTGGGCTCTTGTTTTGGTTTGCTCTTCTTTTTCTGGATGTTGGAGGTGCAACATTAGGGTTTTTATTTCTTCCCGTTGTGTTTTTCTAATGTGTATGTTGACAGCGATAAATTCCCTCTATTAACTGCTTTAATCACATCTGATAAATTCTGATAAGTTGTGCTTGAATTTTCATTGAATGTAGTTATTGTACAGTTTCTTCTTTACTTTCATCTGTGACCCTTTGGTTGCTGAGTAGGGTGTTGTGTAATTTCCATGTATTTATGGGATTTTATTGGTTTCTTGCTTCGTTTGTTCCAAGTTTGATTTCACTGTAGTCAGATAATATACATGAAATAATTTCTGTTTTATTGCATATACTCAAGCATGACCTATGCACCAGTATATGATCTATTTTAGAAAATGAGCGCTAGCCCAGGTCCGGAATTTCTGC